TGAATTGAGTTATCAATTGCATTATAAACAATTCATAGATTTCACTATTAATAGAAAATGCTCTAGATTTAAACATGAAACTTATAAAGATAATTTTTACAATAATAAAATAACATAAATTCTATAATAAAATTAGCATCTGGACTCCTATAAAAATCTGTCTTAACCTACAAAATAGTCAAAAAAATTCATAAATCGTGATTTTGATTTTTTGAATTTTATATTTTTTTATAAACATAATAATCACCGAAATTTGGGTCGCAATCCGTGTTCGTACATTTTTGACCATTAATCGTGACAGTATTGGTAACAGTACCACCAGTGGTCGTGATTCGTTGGCAATTATTACGGCAATAGTACTCATTATCGTTGATAGTAGCTAATTTAAAAATAATATTATTTAATATTTAATTGAGAATGCCAATTATTGAGTACCTGAAAAGCCAACTACCGCAAGAATTAATAATAATGTAGTTATTTTCATTATTAGATATGTTAAAGTTACAATGATATAGCTAACAGTATGTATGCGCTATATATATATATATATAATTATGTATAATATATTTTTTTTATTTAAAACGTATCAAAAGTTGTCGAAAACAATTTACAGTAGATTATGAGATACAGACTATTATATCCAAACAGTCTATTGAATGCACAAAACGTGTACACAATATAGTTCAATGTTTTCATGTACGGGTATGTTTGTCTACTGTTAAAACATTGTAATATATATATAAATTTATATAATATTAATTATTTATTGTCGTGAACATTGGTGCATGTAACTAGTATAATATATTAATTATTAAACTGTTGTTGACCAATTTTATGAAAAAATAATTTAAAGAACTCAATTGATTACATTTACCTTATAAATTTATTATAAAAATATTACATTACCTAAATACTTAATATTAATTTAATAATTATTGTTAAAAGTTAAGTGACGTAATATTTATGTTTCATAAAGATTAATCAGGTAAACATTAGACATACAAAAATAACTTTCTCTTAACCGTGAAATGTGTTTTTGTTAAAAAATAATCTATATAATAAATGCTAACGTTTGTGAATTAATACATATTTACATTTAGGTAAACATCAGTATTCACTTGTACAAAAAACATGTTATTATGTTTATGTAAAAGTTATTATTTTAAATTGGATATTATTAAAAATATATTGTGCAATCACATCCCAGTCCCCTATCACTGAGCAACAAATGGTCTTACCTCAACACTTGATTATCCATTCATTTAATTCATATTTAATTACTTTTAAGCAGACTTTCAATCTATATCATACATAACTGTATTCAAAAGCATGTCTAACTTATATACACTTAATTGTGTCTTTTGCTTTAATTTTAATTATTATTACGATTATTATTATTTAAAAGTACTTTTATATTATAATAACTGTTATGACTTATAAAATATTAAAATGTGGATTTCTGTAACTTTAGTTGTAATTTATAACACAATCATAGGATTTTTAGATATAGGAGCCAATATATTGATATTGTAAATTTTATATAAAAAGTAATTACAGTAGTAGCGTAATCACCACAATTTGTGTCGCATGTCGTGTTAATATAATTGTCATTGTGAATCGCCATTGATGTAAAAGTTATAAGCAATTTGAAATGTAAAATTTAATATATTAAAATAACCGAGCATGCTAAATATGGGTTACCTTAAAAACAAACTACAGCTATATTTAATAATAGAATAGTTATTTTCATTTTTAAATCTCTTGAAATAATATAATAAAAATTAAAATTCATTCAATTTATATAATTTGGGTTTTGCCTGAACCTATTATCATACTCTAATATTTTATAGATTATCAACCTAGGGCTTGTTATAATCAAGTAATATTATATAATTAATTTTATAATTAATTAAAATCGTGTGTATTTATTATCATTTTTTTATTGTTTTGAAATTGATAGTGTTAATTCTTTAAAATTTATAATAGCTTGTGCAAAATTTTAATTTAAAACAATCGATTAATTTTGTATTTGATTGATGTATTTAATTTTAAAATAAATAATTTTAAATATATAACTAGGTCAGGTTTAACTGGTAGATTCATTTTTGGCGATCGGAAATCATAATCTGATCCCTTTCCCTTACCTATCCAAACCTAACTGATCAATAAACCAATCACTAACTCAATGCATACTGTAATACTGTATTTACAACTGTCTCACGCGCTAACCCTTATTGTATACAAATCCCTATTACTGGTAGGCTTTGTACGTCAAACAATAGATTCAAATAAATAAATAAAAACCGTTAATCACTGGTCTCACGCTCTCACAAATACATTGTTATGACTTATGACTCATAACAAACAAAATTTTATTAATATAGTAAATATGTTATCGTTATTCATTTTAAACTAATAATAATAAAACTTAACTAAAATTTAATGTCAAGTATTTTCACGGATGCGGATTACCGTGCATTTTGTTCACCGATCAAAATAACTACACTGGTCAGTTTGATTTTACAATTTATTATTTTTTTGAGTTTCTAAAAATTTATATATAATACATACGTAAAAGTTAATTAATTAACTTAACTATATATTTGTATTTGAAATATAAATAAACAATACAGTATAATAAAATTACAAAAAAGCTAATAGCATAGTTATCAATGATTATATCGCTATAATTAAAACTATGCTAGATAAATTAAATAGTTTTAATTTTTAAAATATTTAATTATATTGACATACTATTAGAATAACTATTTAAAAGTTATTATTCAAAATTATATATTGTTTATTAATTAGTAAGTGACCCTGATCGTAAAGTGGGTATTGCCTACGCATTGTAATTCGTCACAGTATTGGTAACAGTACCACCATAGGTGATTACTGTGTACTTACTACTGCAATTTGTGTCGCATGGCATGTTACTACAATTGCCATTGTGATTGGTATTAGTATTCGTTACCGTACCACCATTGTCGATTACTGTAAAATTATTACAGATTTTGGTGCGGCATGTCCTGTCACTACAATCGCCATTAATCGTAAAAGTATTCGTAACAGTACCACCATAGACGATTACGGTGTAATTTTTACAGCAATTTGTGGGGCATGTCCTGTTAATACAATTGCCATTGTTAATCGTAAAAGTATTCGTAAACGTACCACCACGGATGATTAGTGTGCAATCTTTACAGCAGGTATTAGCTAATTTAAAATTTAAAATTTAATATATAATTGGGAATGCTAATTGTGGGTTACCTTAAAAGCAAACTACGGCAAGATTTAATAATAATATAGTTATTTTCATTATTAGATATACTGTATTAGAGTTGATAAGATATACCACTATATATTCACTATTTATAGTATATATTTAATTTAAAACAAGTCAAAAGTTGTCTAATAATTAAAACACAAATGATAGTAGATTATTAGGTACAAACTAATAATAGAGTAATATTATATAAATAATATTTATAAGTATTAAAATAATGACAGAAAAATTACTTTTTAATGTTACTATTTATACTTAATAATAATAATAAGTTATTATCAAAATTGCACTGAATTTTGAGATAATAGACATGATTAAATGTTTTTATATGCTACACTATACTCTATTGATAGGGTTGCCAACTCTAATTATTCCTGGAGAAATTCTTTTCTAAAGTTGAGTAGTAGATCAGTATTTTGGATAATTTTTCTTTTTAATACAAAACTCTTGATTCATATATGAATTTAAAGTACTTATAATTTAAATGAAATTTGACTATTTTTGTAATAATCATTTTCTAGATTATTTTGAAATTTTATTAATAAATTCTTTAACATTGTTTTTATCAGAAATTATAATTTTAAAATTTACTATAATAATTTAAATGATAATAAAAATTATAAAATTTCAGAGATATTAATTAATAAATAAACTCGTAATGTAGTTAATTATACAAAAACATTTGTTAATATTTCGCGAACACTAAAACAATATTTGATTTTTAATGTTTATTGTAATATTATTACAATAATTCTTAA